AGTAATCCCTTCTATTTCTTCAACTTCTAACCTCTCTCTTTAGGCTTATCCTCCCCCTCTCCCAAAACACATCAAGTCAGGCTTCTCTGGTAAGAAGTCATTATTCAACAAAGATTTATCATGCACCTACTAAGTGCCTGATGTTGTGCAAGGCATTGGCACTGCCTGCATGAAGTTCTAATGAGACAATGCAGAAGAGAAATTTATAGTCTGTTCTGCTCTGACCCCGTAACTCATTCCTAAGAAACCTCCTATTACCAAAAGCTATGTTATAAAAGCAACTGTTCAAAACTGGGTAAAACGGAGTAAGGGGCCAAAGAGTTTCACACTCAAAATAATCAATTCATTTTTTCCTTTCCTGCAAAACTTTCAATAAGGTGTAAAGCAAAAGTTCTCACACCACTAAGCAAGTCCAACTTCTAGTTATATCTAGCTTTTGCCCAAGAGCAAAGCCTTTCTTTTCCTAATCCAATTAGCATGGCCAAAAAAATTCACACAAATATCACCCAGTCTTGTGACAGACAAAGCAGAGAGCTCACTTAAGCACTTTTCCCCTACTCAAATAATAGTGGTTTGCTTAATGCAAATTTGTGTTCTCTAAATAATCTGCTGCACATTACAACCAACGCAATGCTATGAAAGTGGAAGTCGTGGAACACTATGGAGTATGTAACAGGGGATCATATCCTTCAGGGGAGGGGCAGGAAGGACCCTCACTAAGGAAGTGAGACTTCAGGAATGAGTAGGAGGTAGTTAATGGGGAAAATAGGGGGAGAAGTTGTGCTAAAGCAAAGAGAGCTACAATTATGAAAACCCTCAGGGAAGAACAGACACATACATTTCAAGGAATAGAGCCTAACGGAAGAGGGAAGAAAGTCATATGGGGAGGAAGACCATGTGGTCTTGTGAGCCACAGAAGGATCCGAATTTAACATTATGAGCAGTGAAAAAACCACTGAAGGTTTTCAGTAAGAAGGGACATAACTGTGTGTCACTTTAGCTACCTACCATTTACATGGTAAATGTAAATGGTAGGTAGCTAAATGGTAGTCTCCATTTACGTGGTTGTACTTCTTCCCACCTTCTCTTCTCCATGCTCAGCATCTTTCGTACTCCACTGAAATTGTTATCTTTAAAGGTATCTGGGGGTACCTGGGTAGCTCAGGTGGGTTAGACATCAACCCTGATCTTGGTTCAGGTCAAGATTTCAGGGTTGTGAGATCAAGCCTCACACACTGGCCTCACACAGGGTGGGCATGGAGCCTGCTTAAGATTCTCTCTCTATCCCCCTCTCCCTCCCACCCTCTCCTTCTCCCACCTCTAAAAACAAAGCAAAACAAAAACAACTCACACAAAACAAAACAACACCAAATAATAAAAAATAAGGGTGTGGACATCCACCCCTTAAAATGGGCCCTTTCAGTTTTGACTTTATTTTCCCATCTGCTGCATGTGACCCTCCTCACCATCAACTCCTTTCACACCCACAATCAATTTTCTCCCACTTCCATGATTATTCCTCTCTAGTCTTTTTTGCAAGCTTCTTTCTTTACCTACACCTTTAATTGTTGTTGGCCTTCAGCATTTCCAAACCCTCCATATTTTCCCTAGATGACCTCATCCACAAATACCACCTATGTGCTCATGATTTCCAAAATCCTATTTACAGCTCAGACCTCCCTGAAGTCTGTATTTATATATTAAACTCTTTCCATTTTGACGTCTTACAGGCATCTCAAACTGAATTGAACAGTTTCAAAACCAAACACATCTTATCCCCTTACCACTTCAAATCAGTATCTCCCCTTCATTCCTCCTGCCACTGCCTTAGTTCAGGAGGTCAACACTGCTCTTCTGGTTTATTCCAACAGAATACTTCCCTGTACTACCTGCCTACAGAGAGCCCCATCATTCACACCAGTAGAACAATCTTACTAAAAAGTAAATATAGTAAAGGGATGCCTGGGTGGCTCAGTCGGTTAAGCATCTGCCTTTGGCTCAGGTCATGATCCCAGGGTCCTGGGATTGAGTCCCACACTGGGCTCCTTGCTCAGCGGGAAGCCTGCTTCTCCCTCTGCCTGATGCTCCCCCTGCTTGTGCTCTCGCTCACTTGCACGCTGACAAAAAATAACTAAAACCTTGAAGAAATAATAAAATAAAAATTTAAAAAAATATATAGTATGATCTTGCATGGTACTTCCAGGCTTAAAATTCCTCAATGAGTCCTATCAACTAGCTCCAATTCCATAGTCTGATCTACAGGCACCTAATAGCCTCTGTCTTACTCTCCAGCCTTATCCCTCCAGCACCTCAACTTCATTCCATACTCCTCACGAGGTTAATTTCTTCGTAGTCCTCTTGTTCTACGCTCTGTACCTCTGCACACATTCCTTCCTTCTCTGGAACACTAATTCTTCTTCCCTTATTCTCTTCACCTAGCCAACTTGTCCCTTCAAGACTAGGTAAGGCCACACCTCCTGCAGAATCACGACCAGAATTTCCAGGTGCACCCCTTTGGGTGATTAGACAACACCCTGTGCTTAAAACTAGCTTTTGCATTTCTTACTTTTATGTTTTCATCTTCTTACCCATTTACTACTCCCAGTGGGCTAGATCCTTGAGAGCTGGCACTCAGTCTAACACTGATACATAATAGATGTGTTAGGAGTGGATGAACGAAAATAGCGAATTGTGATGAGGCCATCAAAAGAACAAATCCGGGGCGCCTGAGTGGCTCAGTGGGTTAAAGCCTCTGCCTTCGGCTCGGGTCGTGATCCCGGGGTCCTGGGATTGAGCCCCGCGTCGGGCTTTCTGCTCGGTGGGAGGCCTGCTTCCTCCTCTCTCTCTCTCTGCCTGCTTCTCTGCCTACTTGTGATCAGTCTGTCAAATAAATAAAAATCTTAAAAAAAAAAAAAAAAACAAATCCTAGAATTGTGAGCTCCCCAAGAGAAGAAATTTTGCTTCATTCTCTGCCGAATCTCAATGGCCCAGAGCAGGACTGGTACACCACTGGTGCTCAGTACATATTTGTAGTAAGGCTGAATGTACATTCTAGAGTCAAAGGAAAACCTTTTTCTACACTTGCTTTCCATTACTAATTTTCTTGGTTTGTGACCCACTATTATCATAACACCAGTATGTTTTACGTGATTTCTACTGACCAAAGGAATGCTCTTCTTCTTCTGTTATGAAAAAAATAATAAAAGCATTGACTAAACCACTAAAGGATTCCTCGGCACCAACCAGTTCATGGAAGGGTTTCCTGAATTTCTTGAAATTTAATGTGACATTTTCAGTGGATATAAGAAAGTCCATTTTTGTGGTGAGAGGGAATTACGGTTTTCATTAAATTTTCAAATATATTAATGCTATCCCCACCACCCCAAAATCAAACTGCTTAACCAAAATGTTAAGCTGAATTAAGCTGTAGCATTCACCTTTCTCTTCTCAACTCTGTATTTTGATTTATCAGTAGCAACTTGGAGACAGTAGCTTCTATTTAAACAAATGTAACAGGAGAAGTCGGCAGGCCCTCACATAAAGATTCCTACCAGAATTTGCATTTAAAATTTTCTATAATTAGTAAAGCCATTACCAGCGTTCTCAAAAGTTAGTACTCTGTTCTAATATACCCTGTACTCAAATGAATCAGGGTATTTATTACACTTCCTGCTAACGTGTTCAAGAAAAAAAAGTTACATTCTGATCATAATGACAAAGAAGCAATTTTTACTGTACTTGAACTAAATGAATTTAAATGGGGGAGAAACCCAGAATCATCCAGATTTACAGGAAAAACCTTCCCCCCCCCCTTTTTCTGCATATGTGAACAGCCGAAGCAACATTTAACTCACCAACCACTCAATTTAATCTTGGGAATAACACGCTAATAATTAAGCAGTACAGTACAGACAACTAAATCATTTTCAAAGCGATACAGTTCTGTATGAATCCAAAGGTTCTCCAGCTGATGTGAAGAAACTAGTCACAAAAGAATCCAACTACACTCAGGATTCCACTCATACTGAGTTCGAGAAAAGGCAAGATTATTGCACAGCAGTAAGAAATCAGAACAGCGGTGGTCTGGTCTATGGGATGGAAGAAGGGGCATGACGGCACCTTCGGGGTAATGAAAAGGTTCATTATTTTGACCTGGTTGGTGCCTACACAGGTGTACACATTTAGAAAACTCGCTTAACTCCACACATAAAATCTGTCTCTCTTACTGTAAAGTATTCCTCGGTAAAGAAGATTTAAAGGAGAACACCCTTTTTCTTTCTTTTAACTAACACAACCAAAGCCAGATATTCTCGTTCCTGGAAGCTGTTTGTGGAGGACGACCCACGCGCTGAGACTCTGGGCTCTCTGAAAACATTAAGACTGCTGATTCGCCGGGAGCTTCCACCGTCCCCACGGTTTAGGCACTGCCATTTCGAGAGGCCCCGCAGCCACCCAGAACACCAAGGCCAGAGCCGGCTGCGCCTTCGGAAATGGGTGCCGCCGCCGGCCTCCGCTCAGCCACAGAACACCTGGCCAGCGAAAAAGGTATCCGCGGGCAGAGTCAGCCACCAGGGCTAGCGAACTCCCACAAGCCTGCAGCCGTCTCCCCGCCGCCCGCCCGCGTCCCCCGAAGCCTCACTTCCCTTCTCTCGGCCCCCCACGGACTCTCGGACCCCCCGCGGGTCTCCCGGGTACCCCCACCCCCCGACCTCCCAGGTCCCCCCCCGGGTGGCGGAGTACGTCCTCGACCGCCACCAGGCGCCGCTGTGGAGCCGCCTTCCAACTAACTCTGCGCTTGCGCTCCTGAGGAGCACCCCGCCCGCCCAAAGTCTTTTTTCAGAAGGGCCCAGAGACCCGGTCGGCGCAGGCGCGCCCCTGACGCGGCCCGCGCGCCGCCACTTCCGCCCCGAGCAGGAGGCGGGGGAGGCGGGAGGGAGCCGGCGGGCGCGAGCCCGGGTCCTCGGTGAGGACTGTGGCTACTGCGCGAGCCCGCGACTCACCAAATACAGCTGCTGCCAGCGATTCTGAGCATCCAACTCCTCAAACTCCCGCTCGACGGTGGCAGACATGGCGGCGGGAGCGAGCTGGCGCGAGCAGAGCCTGCGCCGGCAGAGAGGCTCAGGCCCCGCACGATCCGGGGAGAGCGCTGGCGCTGCGGCGCATGCGCGCTCCGCGCCCTGCCCCGCCCCCACGCCGGGCCCGGCCGGCCGCGGGGAAAGTACCTGGAGCGTCGGACGTCAGCGCGCCGATTCGCGGCGCCTGAAGTCGGACGGCGGCGGGGCGGGACGTTTGGAGGAGGCGTGCTCCAGAGGGCGCCCAGGTGGAGAGAGGGCGGGGCCAAGGGGACCACCCAGAGGCTGCAGTTGGGGGAAGTGGGGCACTGGGCGGTCGGCTCCTTGGACTTGAGTGGACTCGCCCTGGGGAGGAGGTACAGTACCTTGAGTTTCCCAGAAATGGAACGGACCAAGAAAGTCTCTTGGGAAGACTTTCCTTCTTGCTGTCCCATTTCTCTTTTTCTCTTTAGTCTTAGTTTTTTAAATGCAGTATTTTCATTTTATTTTACACGTCATCTAGGTCAGTTTAGAGACCGGTGTCCAATTTTGAAACAAATTTCTCAGCTCCCTCCGAGAGTATAAACCAGACGTGATGCCAGCTCGTGTATGCCTGAGGGTTTTGTGCCAAATAAGCCACTATAGCAAAAGGAGAGGCAGCCTCTCTTGGAGTTACGGAGAATACATGCTGTTAAGTAAATGTCACACAACTTAAAAATTAATGTTACCTAAAAGAACAAATAATCTTTTACAGCACAAACATGCTGGGTATGTAAATCATCCCTCTTCAGACTAAGAGAACTCATTGTTGGTAAACCATATGCTTATAGTATCTTGTTATGTCATCTTCCTAAGAAATGAGAAGGGTGGGGTGCCTGGGTGGCTCAGTGGGTTAAAGCCTCTGCCTTCGGTTCAGGTCATGATCCCACGGGATCGAGCCTCATATCGGGCTTTCTGCCTCTGCTCAGCAGGGAGCCTGCTTCCTCCTCTCTCTGCCTGCCTCTCTGCCTACTTGTAATCTCTGTCAAATAAATAAAATCTTAAAAAAAAAAATGAGAAGGGTTAGAAAAATTTTAGCGGTGCTACCCAATATTGACATTTAATTTTTTTCTTTTTAGATATTTATTTATTATTTTTTCCAAAGACCTTATTTATTCATTTGAGAGAGAGTGTGAGTAGGGGGAGCGGCAGAGGGAGAAAGAGAGTCCCTGCTGAGCAGGGAGCCCAATGCGGGCTGTATACCCAGGAGCCTGGGATCATGACCTGAGCTGAAGGCAAAGGCCCCTATTTATTGGGGTGGGGGGCGGGGGAAGGGAGAAAATTTCCAGAAAACCCTGCTCAGCACAGAGTCCAACTAAGGGCTTGATCCCAAGACCCTGAGATCATGACCTGAGCCGAAATCCAGAGTCAGAGGTTTAGCTGACTGAGCCACCCAGGTACCTGGATGTTTAAATTTTAATTGAAATTAGAAGAAATGACAAAGATTCACTCCTTGAACAAATTCTACTCCGGTTCCTCTGAGCACTTTTTCAACTAGGCATTAATTTTTGGACTTCCCTATTTCTCTGCATTGTCTAATTTTAGCAAGAATCTTACTAAGTCAGTTTATCCAGAATCCACCATTCTCAATATCTGATCACGCTCATACTTAATCAGGTTCCTCATCTTCCACTATCCCCCAGGTGCTATCTGATCACCCTGGCCTGCCTACAGCAAGAATCCTATTAGATCAGTTTAGTCAGAATGCCCCTGATGTTTTTTGTGTTAAAAACAGGACAACACTCCTAAAATGGAGTTGCTTGCTAAGCCCCCTGGTACCAGACCTGCAATTAATTACTGTTTCAACTCTCCCAGAAATGGGATCTTAAATGAGTTAATTAGGAGTCACCTGATCAGCCCTAGTTAGGTAATCTGTTGATAGATCCCTGCCATCCTCTGAAGGAAAGTAATCTTGCAATAACCAATCTCCTTTTTGCCTAGTATAAGTAACTTGTTCCTGCCCCCTTTTGCCTGTAAGTCTTTCAATTTGTACAGCTCCTCAGATCATTTATATCTGCTAGATTTGATGATGCCCAGATTATGAATCATTGAGCCAATATTATCTTTGAAGTTTACTCAATTGAATTTTGTTTTGTAATACCTCTTAGTAATTTTCTATACACTGACCCTTCACTTTGCACCCTGGCTATAAATTCCCATTAGCCCTGTCTGTATTCAAAATTGACCTCAATCTAAGTGATGAATGGTTAAAGAAGATGTGTGAGATATATATATATAGTTAGATATGCAGTGGAATATTACACAGCCATCAAAAAAATGAAATCTTGCCATTTGCAGTAACATGGATAGAGCTAGAGTGTGTTATGCTAAGTGAAGTAAGTCAGAGAAAGACAAATATGATTTCACGCATATGTGGAATTTAGGAAACAAAACAGATGATGTCGTGGGAAGGGAAAAAGAAAAGGGGAGGGAACCCATAAGAGACTCTTAACGACAGAGAACAAACAGGGTTGATGGAGAGAGGTGGGTGGGGGATAGGCTAAATGGGTGATAGGTATTAAGGAGGGCCCTTGTTATGAGCACTGGGTGCTATATATATGTAAGTAATGAATCACTAAATTCTCCTGGAACCAATATTACACTATATATTAACTAGAATTTAAATAAAAATTAAGAAGGAAAAAAAAGTTGAGTTCAATCTCTCGACCACTGCAAAACTCATTGCAGTGGCCCCTGGTCCTATTACAATAGATCCCCCTCACTGTGAATAAAGTCTTCCTAAGTCGTCATTTTCAACAAGTGTCATGAAGTAAGTTCCTCAATTCAGTTCCTCAGTTGTACTAGCCACATTTCAAAGGCTCAATAGCCACATGTAGCTAGTGGCTAATGTATCACAGAGCAAACATATCATCAAAGTTCTATGAGACAGAGCTGTCTGAAAGGATTAAAATACATGGATGAAAAAAAAAAGTCCTTATATACATAGTGAAAATTTTTACCAGTAAAGACAGTAAGCTGTGGGAGGTAGAAGAAATTGTAGTAACAGAAAATTAAGCAACAAAGCACCCTTTCTCTTTACATAGTGTAATTTACAAACACATGAAACCTCCTCTAGAAATACCCCACAATGGTCCTGGTTTCTGAAATTCTGTCAATGAAACTGATTATTTGTACTAAAGGCACTGTATCTCCTGAGATGGTTCGGAAGGAAAAAGTTTTCCTTCACTCCTGGATTCTTTGGCTGTTTCTAATTATCAAATTAACATAAAACATTAACAAGAGAAAAACAAAGTTAATTATATACATATGGGAGCCCATAAGACATACTCAAGGATGAACCTGGTGATTGAGGCTCATATGCCATCTTGAGCTAAGCAATAGGATAGGGGTCTAGGGCTTCAAATAGGAGGAGGGTGAGTCACTGGACAGTAAGAAGAGCAGATATTTGGTAATTAGATGTTTATTCTGCCACATAGGAAAAATGTTATCCTTGGTAAAAGCTCTCTTTCTGAGCCAAGCCTTCTATCTAAATTCTTTAAGGTAGTTTAAGGAGAGGTGAAGTTTTTCTTGAGTCTGCTGGGTCTTGAGTGCCTTCAGCTGAAAATAGTCCCCGTGTCAAAGTAGCATATCTGGGGGATTTATTCTGAACAAATTTCTGAACTCCTTTCCTCACACATTTGAAACTTCCCCAAGAAGTTTCACAGTCTACAAGTTAAGCTCCAGCTCCATGAACCAGGGTCTCAGGCCTGAGAGTTGGCTAGTTCAGTTAAACAGTTGTCTCATTTCAGGAAACGGTGATGCAAGTGGGCTCCCAAAGTTAAGCCTGTGGTGCAAATAATCAAATAATAGGAGGCATTTCTATGGGCGGGGGTATGAAGATTAAAATTGGAGCAGATTAGAATCCCAGTTTCTGAATTCTGAAGACTGGTGGTCAAGATTTCTAGATGTCCAGCTTGAAGCATCTTTGGATAGAGTGAGGGCAGATAGTACCAATCCGATACATTTTCTTGATTTGCAGTTTGAATGTCTCTGGTGGTCTTTCTTAATGGCCTGCATAGCAGCAGGCATGAAAATTGTCTATACATGAATGGTTATGGTGATTTCTCTGAAGTTTTTATCAAGTTGTCCAGCATTAGTTTGCATGGCTTCAGGAAAAGGGCAGTTTTAGTTCTCAATGATTCCAAGTCAAAAGGGTGGGAGAAAATCAGAAATGTTAGTTTGAGGAGTTACAGATGAATTTTAGAGTAAATTAGAAGAATGCAGGATCTAGTCCAGTTTATGAGAAAACAAAATCTCAAAGACAATTAATAGCACTAGAATTTTGTACCCAAAAAGGTATATTGCTGAAACATAATTTTTCCTCTACAGTTTTGCTCATTTTTATCAAAGATAACCATAGCAAGAATCATCTGCAAACTAAATCTTATTTCAGTAAAGTTGGCTTGATTATTTATATAAGTACATCAAGGTAGTGATTGACCATATAAGCTGCTTAGCTGGAACTTTTCATAAGGAACCTAAGATTCAATTTTTAAAAGCCTCTTGAGGCTAAGAAGCCACACCAAGCACTCACCATCAGACTTTGCCTGCAATACCTACAGATTTGGGTGAATTCCTCTTTTCTCAAGATCCCCAAAATATCCTGAGGTTCCTGTGCCTGCCAGGAAGCAACCTTTCTTACCTGCTGCTGGGAACCCTATAAGCAAGGTACCAGGCCGATTTTTCCAATGGGCTTTATTGGCTCCATAGAGTCAACTTTAGTTCCTTAAAGCTATCTGATTGTATCTTAATTTGTTTATATATCTCTCAAATATAACATTTAGTTAAAGCTTAGTATTATAACAAAAGTTTCCAATTGTGTCCTGTTACAAGGAGAACGGATTCTTATTGAACTTATGTCAATAACCATATTGCCATGAAAATAAGATAGTAAGAGTTTCTGAATGCTGGAGGGATCCAGTAGGGAGAAAAACATAAATATTTCAACCCTACTTATAAGAGGATAATTTACCAAATTTCTGCAAGTCATAGTTAGCTTGAGAGGAAAGATTCCCT